CCAAATACCTATAAGTCTTTTTATTTGCTATCAAAACGATGCATGATTATATGGCTATTTGCATTTTTTTTATATGCATTTAGCATTGTTTTAGAACAAACATTTTGACCCATGGGACCTGATCCACTTGTTATGATCCACTGACATGCCAATCAAATAGAAAATGAGAGTTTTTAAAAATATCTACAAAATCGGCAGTAGAAGCTGGCTTGTGATGAAGTTAATGCGATAGCGTGTATTCTCAGTGATATGCAAGACACAGGCTGAGATTGAGGAGCGAATGCTCTCTCACCGTGAGCACATTGAGCATCACAGCAGAAGATCATGTGACTCCAGACTCCATTCAGATCTTCTCTGGATCAGAGGCCTGGAAACGGCTTGCATCGGTTAGTAAAATGCAGAGTTTATGAGACGCCAACTGAGTTTGCTCTTAAAATCATATTATAAACTGTCATTTCCAGCAACTGCAGCCCATATGAGAGAAGAGAGATAGAAACACACATTAATAAATCACAGACCTCATCATGATTATTTGGCCTTTCTGGGTTTCTGACAGCATCACAGAAATATTTCGACATTACAGACCATCTGACCGCATTCTCAACTGAGCATCAGAATCACAACAACACGTCTGACCTTTACCAAACACAGAGAATCAAACACTAAACGTCACGAGGAGCAGGAGAACCGCTCAACGGAGGAAGAGGAGGAGCCAAAACTCACAAACTATCAGGCACTTAAAGCTTATTTCACTACAAACAAATAGTGCTGTTGCTAAGGAGTTTGGAGTGGCTTTTAGCACATTGTTATGCAGTTGCCTAAGGTGTTGTTAGGGCATTCTAAATGGTTTCCATTGCTATGTGGTTGCCAGGCAGTGTTGTTAGGGTGTTCTAACCAGTTTTCTAGGTGTTGCTATGTGGTTGCCAGGCAGTGTTGCTAGGGTGTTCTAAACCGTTTTCAAGGTGTTGCTATGTGGTTGCCAGGGGTGGTCTACGCAGTTTTCAGGGTGTTGCTATGTGGTTGCCAGGCAGTGTTGCTAGGGTGTTCTAACCCATTTTCAAAGTGTTGCTATGTGGTTGCCAGGCAGTATTGTTAGGGTGTTCTAACCAGTTTTCTAGGTGTTGCTATGTGAGTGATGAAGTGAATGCGATGGCGTGTGTTCTGAGTGATATGCTGAAGCTCTTTCACCGTGAGCACATTGAGCATCACAGCAGAAGACCATGTGACTCCAGACTCCATTCTAATCTTCTGCAAACGGCTCGCATCAGTTAGTAAAATACAGTTTATCAGAGTTTGCTGGTAAAATCATCATTTCCAGCAGCCGCAGCTCATATGAGAGAAAAGAGATAGAAGCACAAACATTAATAAATCATAAAGCTCATCATGATTATTTGGCCTTTCTGGGTTTCTGACAGCATCACAGAAATATTCGGACATCACAGGCCTTCTGACCGCAGAATCACAGCAACACGTCTGACCTTTAGCAAACATAGCGAATCAAACACTAAAGGTCACACGAGGAGGAGGAGCCAAAACACACAAACTATCAGACACACACAGCCTAATTCACTAAAATAATAAATAGCGCTGTTGAGGCAGTGTTGATAGGGTGTTCTAAACAGTTTCCAGGGTGTTGCTATGTGGTTGCCAGGCAGTTTTGCCAGGGTGGTCTAAGCAGTTTTCAGGGTGTTGCTATGTGGTTGCCAGGCAGTGTTGCTAGGGTGTTCTAAACAGTTTCCAGGGTGTTGCTATGTGGTTGCCAGGCAGTGTTGCCAGGGTGTTCTAAGCAGCTTTCAGGGTTTTCAGGCATTTTTATTATTATTATTTTGTTATTGCAGTATTATTTATATACTATTATAGTTTTTATTTTTGACTTAGCTTTTAATTGTATATTTTCAGTTTTCAAATTAATTTTAGTTTGTGCTTTATCAATTTGTTACGTGCTTTTGTCATTTTTATTAGTTTTTGTAATATTTTTATTTAGCTATAATTTATTTTTATTTTTAATTAATTCCAGTTTTGGAATAACTTTTGGAATCATTACTTCAGCTTATTTTATTTCAGTTAATTGCCAAATTAACGTATCCTTTTTTTTTTCACCTAATATTTTTGACTTAGCTTTTAATTGTATATTTTCAGTTTTCAAATTAATTTTAGTTTGTGCTTTATCAATTTGTTACGTGCTTTTGTCATTTTTATTAGTTTTTGTAATATTTTTATTTAGCTATAATTTATTTTTATTTTTAATTAATTCCAGTTTTGGAATAACTTTTGGAATCATTACTTCAGCTTATTTTATTTCAGTTAATTGCCAAATTAACGTATCCTTTTTTTTTCACCTAATATTTTATTTCATTATTTTATCTTTTATTTTATATTATTATATATTTTTATTATTTATTTTATTTTATTTCAGTTTTATTTCAATTAACAAAAAAAAATTATTACATTTTTGTTAACAATAAAAAATTGGCTACAACAAAATGTGCCTTTTTTGCAAAAAATACTGTGATGCTAGATTATGTTTTGGACGTGCTTCATGACATGTAACATATGTGTTTTAGACATGGACCAAGGTATGTATTCTTTAAAGTACCGTGTCAATACCATAGTATATGAAAATACCACCACCATATAAGCCAAAATACAATGGTCACATGATCTGATCTTATGTACCAGCATAGTATTTTTTGAGCTGTTCATAATGAATGGAGGAGCTCAAAGGTCACTGAGCCTGAAACGAAAGCAGGAGAACTGCGTGACGTGGCCTTTGTTGAAATGACAATACATGCTGCGACTTAATGAAGCACATTTTAGTCAACATCTTTGAATTTGTCCTATAAAACATACTTTGAGAGCAACAGAAAATAAGAATTGTGATATTTGTAATTGCATTACGGGAGGAACGCACAGGACTCTCTGGGATTCAATCAAATTAAACACAGATATCTCAGATTGGATTGTTGCAAAATTAGATTTCTGTCCACCAAAAAAACAAGGAATGTAATCTCATTCCGCCCTGAAAATACAGAAAAAATCAGTTCTGTGCACAGCAAACCAATGCATGTCTAATCTAAACCCATCAGATATATTAAAACACAAGAAAAATATACTGGCAGAGAACATAAGACATGAAGACAAACAGGACCCAGAGTCAGTCTGGATGAAACGTCCTGTGGGAATTCTACCTGCACGCATTATGAGATTAATACTGCAATTTATTCTCGGAAAGTTGGAATTTAAAACCTCTTAAATGGAAAAGCGAAACAGAATGACACTCGATGTTCAACTTTTTGTTTGATCTAAAATCTAAAACTATTTATAAAACTATCTAACAATTGGTAAAAAAAAATAAGATGTCTTTAAAGGAAATGTTTATTTGTATAACTGTATTAAATGTGCTTGAACTGAAAGACATAATAAAGTACAGAAAAAAAAATCTAAAACAAGGATTTTGCCAAGATGAGGGTTATTATTGCTAACTAAAACTAAAACTATTAAAAGCATTTTAGTTTGCATTTTTATTTTACATTAAGTTTTAATCATTTTGTTATGTGTTATTTTTATTAGGTTTTGTTTTTTATATATATTTCTATTTAGCTTAAATTTATTTCAGTTTTAGTCATTTTGGTACTTCAATTTAAAATTACTTTATTTCGATTAGTTGCCAAGGCAACATTTCTGATTTTTCTTATTTGTTTCATCTAATATTTTATTTTATTTCAGCTTTATTTAAACTAACAAAATTATTTTTAATTATTTTAGTTTAGGGTTATTATCGTTAACTAAAACTAAACTTATTTTTAAAAAATTGTTAATTAAAATAAAGCTGAAATAATCTCAAATATATTCATATCAGATGAAGAACTTAAACTAAATGAAAATTAGTAACTAAACTAAGTTTAAATTTGAAGCACTACAATTATTAAATGGAAATTAATAAAAACTAAAACTGAAATAAAAATAAATTAAATCTAACTAACTAATAAAAATGGGAAAAGCACATGATAAAATTACTAATACATTTTAAAAAATGAAGATATAAAAATAAAAGCTAATTTAAAATATTACGAAAATTATAAATAAGTATATAAATAATACTAAAATAACACTGGCCAAGATGCATGGGCAAATTTACTAACCAGTTGCACCACTTGCAATTTCATTTAACCCTGATATTACACTGAAATGCATCATGCTGACAAATATAGACCTTCCATCTTTATGTGTTTATGTTTCCATCGTGTGTAAGAGTTTAGCTAATGAAGATGCTGTCCACAGGCCCCTCGTCTGTCTTTGCATCTTCTGACCAGCGCTAAAGTGTTTAGCTGAAGTAACAACACAAAGTGTAAGCAGCGAGGCACTTAACGGATCGTAGCAGTGCCATGACCTCAACCAGACACCTCACCAAAACTAATAAGCTAAGTGTGCAGCGCCGAGGGTTTAGAGACACTCCGAATAATTGAGCTGATCATTACACACAAAAACACACAAATACACTCCAAAACATAAGCAGCGACATTATACTACCTTACGAGATGCCTCGGTTTGTTATAAAGGAAATCCCCAAACATTCTGTGACAAGCCAGAAAATCTGAGAAATCAAGAGTAATGAATTCTAAATCTAAAATTCATCTTATTAAACAAATTGTACACAATATTTGTGTCCTGGATATTTTTATGCTTACTAGAGTAGTGCATACTGTATTTACTGAGTACAATACCCTTCACAAGTTTGGAGTTGGTAAGATTTTTCTCTTTTGCTCTCCAAGTCTGCATTTATTTGATTCAAAATACAGTAAAAATTGTGAAATATTATTACAATTTAAAATAATTGTTTTCTATGTGAATATCTGTTAAAGTGAAATGCATTGCTCTGTATTTTCAGCATCATTACTCCAGTCTTCAGTGTCACATGATCCTTCAGAAATCATTTTAATATGCGGCTTTGCTGCTCGAGAAACATTTATGCTTATTATCGATGTTGAAAACAGTTCATATTTTTGTGGAAACTGTGAAACATTTTATTTTTCAGGATTCACAGATGAAAAGAAAGTTCAAAAGAACAGCATTTATTAGAAATGGAAATCTTCTGTAACATTATAAATGACTTTACTGGCACTTTTGATCAATTTAATGCATCCTTGATGAATAGAAGTACTAATAAATAAAAAAAAAAGACTGCACCAAATATTTTAACTGTAAGTTATCTATATGTTAGTATTTCATTCTTTCTGATCTCCTGGTGTTTTTTTGTACAATCATGTATTTGTGCACATTCTAGACAGCTGAAAACTGTTACAATCTTTCATTTCTCTTTCTATTTTGCATTCTGATGATTCAAGCCAAATTACGTTGATTAACTAATAAGCCAGCATTCAGCACCTTCACAACCTCAAACGCAATCAGAGAGAAATCCAGTCTCTGCACATCTGAAAGGCTCGTATGAATGCCACGTGAGTTATGTAATGTGTCGGCAATATTCCAGCAGTTCATCTAGAAGAATATAGAATGACAGGTTTATCTTGACAACATCACAATGTTCTCCGGGGATCGGGGCCAAAGTTTGGAAAAATCTCTCCCTGATAAGTCAACATCTCATTCCATGACTGGAAAATGACACATTTGAGGAAGAAAGACAGGTTTCTGAATCTCATTAAACATATGTTCAATTCAGCAATTAAAGGAGAAGTTCACCCAAAAATGACAATTCTGTCATCATTTACGCTCCATATTGTCATTCTAAATGTGTACATTGTAAAAAAAATAATAATAATCATGATCATTCAGACGATCATTGTCATGGTAATATATGTTTTTTTCATTACTTTAACTAATTTAACTTAAGTTATACGAGATTCAACTTGATTTTTAAAATCAGCTTAATATAATTGAAAAAAATGAGCTGAAATATTGTAAAATATTTTACAATTAAAAATAAGTGTTTTCTGTTGTAATATATTATAAAATGCCATTTCATTCCTGTAATGGAAAAGCTAATTTATTGAAATACAGATTCAACTCAAATTTGTAAGTCAGATTAATATAACTGAAAAAAATTAGCCAAAATATTATATTAATTTAAAATAAGTGTTTTCTGTTGAAATATATTTTAAAATGTAATTTATTCCTGTGAGGAAAGCTATATTTTTTCTTTTTGTGGCAGATTTAACAAACTTTTTTAATAATCAGTTTAATAAAACTGAAAAAACATGTTGAAATATTATGAAATATTACATTTTTAAAAATGTATTCTTGATGGCACACTCATAAATACTCATAAATATTTTTTAAGTCAGTTGAATATTGAAATATTATGAAATATTATTACATTTTTAAAAATGTATTCTTGATGGCACACTCATAAATACTCATAAATATTTTTTAAGTCAGTTGAATATTGAAATATTATGAAATATAAATACTCATAAATATTTTTTAAGTCAGTTGAATATTGAAATATTGTGAAATATTATTACAGTTGAAATGTATTTATTCCGATGGCAAAGATTTTTATTTTTTCACAAAGATTAAGCACGGTTTTTTGTAAGTCAGTTGAATATATTTTTTAAAAAATGAGTTGAAATATTGTGAAATATTAGAATTTAAAATAAGTGTTTTCTATTCTATTTTTCAGATTTTATTATACTTAAAAATTTAAGGCAGCAACTGAATTTAAGCTGTAATCGGTGAGAAATTTTACAGTGTATGACTTTCTTCTGTGAAACACAACAGGAGCTATTTAGCAAAATGTTCATGCTGATCTTTCCCATGCAATGAAAGAGAGCAGGAACGGATGCTGTTGAGCTCAACTGAGCCTGTATTTGAATGCGACTGGAGAGCAGATGATCAATAAATAACTACTTAAAGGGTTAGTTCACCCAAAAATGAAAATTAGCCCACAAATTACTCACCCTCAAGTCATCCTAGGTGTATATGACTTTCTTCTTTCAGACAAATCCAGTCGGAGTTATATTAAAAATTGTCTTTGATCTTTCAAGCTGTTTCATGCATGAATCAGTCCAAAAGAAGTTAAATAAAAAGTGCCCAGCCATAAAAAAAAAAGTGTCTCACACGGCTCCAGGGGGTGAACAAAGGCCTCCTGTAGCGAATCGATACGTTTTTGTAAGAAGAATATCCATATTCAAAACGTAATAATCACTTTGATGTAGCTTGTGCCAACAGTCCTACACGGAAGCAGTTCCGGGGGAATGACGTATGAGGTCAGCTGCGCATGCGCCGCTCAGAAGTGACGAATGCGGAGAGATCAAAACAAAACAACGGTCACTAATTAGAAGTACAAAACGAGGATCTGTAAAGAAGTATGTCGGAGGATTTCGATATAAGCCAAGAGGAGACTTGGAAGAAAGTCATATACACCTAGGATGACTTGAGGGTGAGTAATTTATGGGCTAATTTTCATTTTTGGGTGAACTAACCCTTTAAATATACATCGCATGTTTACTTTCATGGCATTTATTGTCTCCTTATTGGAGCTTGACAGCTTCTGTATCAAATTGCATTTACTGTAGTGTGAATTTTCAGCTAAACACTTCTCAATAAGCAAATTTTTCGGATGAACTAAATGATTCACACAGCTACGAACAACGAAATAAGTCGAGACAAAGCAAGCAAGCAAGGACTACAGATTTCTGCCATCTAGTAAAGTTACATAAGCTACTTTCAGCTCATGACACACTTAAATAAGCAAAGGTTACACAACCTCGCTAACTGCACTCGAATAGCCCTACAAATGAAGTAGGTGTGCAGGAATTTACAAGAGCCGACGAGAAAACACTGCGGTGGATTCCTGCCTTTGTTTGGAGGCTCGCACATTAAAACCTGTTTTTGCATTAGAAATAAAGTCCAGCTGGATGGCATTTCCTCCCTAACGGCTGACTCACAGGAAGTAAGAAGAGGAAGAGGAAAAAAATAGAGGAGAATATGAAAAGCATAAAGTCAAGCACAGAGAGAGAAGCCTGAAAAACATGATACACAAAGCCATCAAGCATTTTATGTGAGCGAGAGAGAAAGAGAGAGAGCGAGAGAGAGCGAGAGAGAGAGCGAGGGGGGAGGACGTGTTGTTTTTCTCCATTATGCAGACGGCCCCTGCTTACGGATTCAGAGACCAGGGTGTTCGCAAAGTGTTGGGAGCTTTCATTGAGGCATTAATGTTTTAAGAGTAACATGGCTTTTTTTTATCAGAAGTACATTTTTCCCATTTCTCTCTTGGCTCTTGATGTAAGCTGTGTGTTAGTGTGCGTAACAGGATTTTCCTTTTATCTCACATAATTATGTTAGCACATTGGTCTCTCTCTCTCTCTCTTTCTATCGGGCTCATTGTGGTCTCTGTCTATTTGGGATTCAGGACGAGCGCCAGCAAACGCTGGATAAACAGAGATGTCTATGAAAATTCCTCAAGCATGTTGAATATATCTAATGAGACGCATCTCTAGGTTCATCTGTTGATTGGTTTATAGATGCCACTTTATAGTCTTTATATATAAGAGTTCAGATATGTTGATATATTGTAATCCACCGTTTCTTTTAAAGGGACAGTTCACCCAAAAATGGTAAATTTGCTGTTAATTTACTCACCCTCAGGCCGTCCAGGAGACACTTTTTTTTTCAGTAGAACAGTAAAGAAGAGTTTTAGCTCAAACCCTGGTCCGGGGTGATTCATAAAATCCAAGTCTTTGAGAATTAAAAAAGCATATCAAGGAACACAAAATTAATAGCCGTGGCTCCTGACGATATGTTGAGGTCTTAAGAAGCGAAACGATCCATCTGTGCAAGAAACTGAACAGTATTAATATTTAAAGCATTGTTACCTGTAATCCAGAGCCTCAGGCAAACGAGGAAATCTGATTCTTTTCTGTGAACTGGTTCTTTCAGTCAGTTCGTTTACATAATCTCGCTATATGATGAAACATATACACAATTAAATTATTAAAGCACGCAAAGATGATGTGAAATGTGGATGTTTCACATGTGTAAAGCATATAAAGTGATTAAACTAGTCTTCATCAGCTCACCTTTTTACATAATGAGAAACCATAAAAACGTTAATTTCGTTCCTTCATTCAAGTGTTCGGTTCATGCATGCGCATATCAGCGGCTCATCGGTCTTCGAACTGTTTCCTCAGTTCAGTGACTGGAGCGCTGAATCAGTTCATTCATCACAGGATCAGATACGCTGCTATTTTGGCTCATTTGGAGTCGGAGTGACTGTCAGACGTCTGAAAGTGAGTTTTGATTGAGTAACTTGTAGATCTGTGCTGACTGAGCCATAAACTGTTTCAGACGGTTCAATCTGATTGAGTGAACTAGTTCATTCAGTTCACCAAAAAGAACCGGTTCAAAAGAATGATTCATTGGTGAACCGGACCTCACACCGGACCGTTTGCCTGAGGCTCTGGATTACAGGTAATAATGTCATAAACAATGTTCAGTTTCTTGAACAAACCGATCGTTTCGCTGCATAAGACCTCAATATATTGTAGGGGTTCTGATTTTTTAAAGTCGACTTTTATGTGATGAAAGTCGAGTCGAAGTCGACTAGTCGCTGATGACGTCATTAATGAACAAATAAGTCTGGAGCTGTGATAAACACCTTGTGCACAGCTATGGCATATGACACAGTGCTGCCCACACGGCTATTGCTCCTATAACACCTCATTTTTAACAGTTCTTTTGTCTTTGAGTCGTTATATTTCTCACAGATTTCTGCTCGTTCTAAATCAGATACAGATAAAGTAGCACAGTAAAGATTACATTCATATGAATGCATTAGTGAGAGTGATTGCGTGTGAATTAATTCTACCTGGCAGCGTCTCTCTACTAGTAGTGAAGCTGTGGGATTTAGTTATTAAGAAATATATGCTTGAACTTTTCAGTTTCTAAGCTATTTTAATAATTTGTAATATATATAATTATAGCATACATAACATATTTATATCTACACAAAATAAAAAATCCAAAAAAATTATTTGAAAGCATTTTTGTATTTAATATTACTAATAATATGACTAAATATTACTAATAATATTACTAAATATAATTTGTAACATATTTATATCTGTCACTTAAAGCGTCATGGCAGAGCATTGAAGTCGACTAGTCAATTAGTCGGTGCAACAACTAATATATTATCATATTCATTTTGTTTTGCCTGTATTTGCTTTTTTGACTCTTACGTGCCGGAATCCGCTGTCTTGCATTTTCTGAATCACCAAGGAGCATGAAATGTGAAGAAAGATAGATAGATAGATAGATAGATAGATAGATAGATAGATAGATACTCTCTCAGTCTGTGCAAATGAACAGGCCCATGCAAAAGCTACAATTAAATATTTATCACCAATAGCTGTATTTATCATAAATATTCATAAGATACAGCTGTTATTTTTCAGCATGTGGAACATAACAATCAGCAATTACGCTGTGGTGGAGATGTAGGTGGGTATGAGATCTTTAGCGTGAACGTGTTCTCCATCTCCTTTAGTGTGGATGAGAGCTGCTGCTGCTGTAATGTGAAGGTGACTGACTGTACACTTGATTCATCACTGATGGAGAGATACTGTTATTCCAAGGCTGGATAATAAAACACAGAATGCACAACCTGGAGATCGTTCTACTCTTTTCTACACACACAGTCAAACACAACACTGGGTTCAAAGTGAAGTCAAGTACACACATATACAGTCTTTCTTAATATTCCTAATTAGTCTCAATTGCACTTTTTAACACTCTGAATGCAAATATTCCAGATGAACC